ATGAAGCTGACAAGAGGGAAGAAACAGATAACATTCAAAGGAAAACCAATCAGGCTGACATCAGACTTCTCTGAAGAAACACTACGGGCAAGGAGAGAGTGGAGGGACATAGTCAACAGACTCCAAGAAAACAGATGCCAACCAAGAATACTCTATCCCGCAAAGCTCTCTTTCCTCCATGAAGAAAGAATATGGACCTTCCCAGACAAAGAGAAACTCCGGAATTTCATTGCGACTAAACCCCCACTCCAAAAAATACTACAAGGAATCCGAAAGCCAGAACCTCAGAGGGACGAATAACAACGAAAGAAGAGCAAAAAAAAAAAAAAAAAAGTTATTAAAAGAATAAATAAATAAAATCAAAGGAAAGACAAACATAATGGCAAATACAGATGCTAACATATCAATATTAACTCTAAATGTAAATGGCCTAAACTCTTCCATAAAAAGACACAGAGTTGCAGCCTGGATTAAGAAACAAAACCCAACCTTTTGCTGTCTCCAGGAAACACATTTAGCTACAAAAGATAAAAATAGGCTCAAAGTCAAAGGATGGAAAACAATCCTACAAGCAAATGGGCCAAAAAAGAAAGCAGGAACAGCTATACTTATATCAGATAAAACAGACTTCAAACTCAAAAAAATAAAAAGAGACCCCAATGGTCACTACATTATGATTAAGGGGACAATACTTCAAGAAGAAATAACACTTATTAACATATACTCACCAAACGAAAGAGCACCAAAATATATCAGACAACTGTTGTCCTCTCTGAAAACAGACATCAGAGAAAACACATATGTAGTGGGAGACTTCAACACACCACTATCAACAATGGATAGATCAACAAGACAAAAAATAAGTAAAGAAACTAAAGCTCTAAATAAGGACCTAGAGCATTTGGGCTTAACAGACATCTATAGAACACTAAACCCAAAAAAAACGGAGTACACATTTTTCTCAAGCGCACATGGATCATTCTCCAGGATCGATCACATACTGGGGCACAAGACAAACATCAACAGATACACCAAGATTGAAATCATACCAACCATCTTTTCTGACCACGAAGGCATCAAACTAGAAATAAATCATAAAAAGAAGGAAAGGAACTATCCTACCTCATGGAGATTAAAAGCCACACTACTGGAAGACCACTGGACTAACGAGGAGATCAAAGAAGAAATTAAAAAATTCTTTGAATTGAATGACAAGGAGGACACCAATATCCTAAATGTATGGGATGCAGCAAAAGCAGTAATAAGAGGAAAATATATAGCAATAGAAGCTCACATCAAAAAACAAGAAAGAACTCAAAGAAACAACCTAATCTCGAAGCTCAAAGATCTAGAAAAAGAACAACAAAAAAAACCCAGAACCAGTAGAAGAAAAGAAATAATAAAAACCAAAGCAGAAATAAATGAAATTGAAACTAAAAAAACAATCCAAAAGATCAATGAAACCAAGAGCTGGTTCTTTGAAAAAATAAATAAAATAGACAAACCCCTAGCCAGGCTCACAAAGGAAAAAAGGGAGAAAGCACAAATACACAGAATCATAAATGAAAGAGGAGAAATCACAACGGACACAGCAGAAATCAAAAGAATAATCAGTAACTACTATGAACAGTTATATGGAAACAAGTTCAACAATCTAGAGGAGATGGACAAATTCCTACAACTCTACAATCACCCAAAGCTAGATAAAGAAGAAATAGAACACCTAAACAGACCAATTACAAGCAGCGAAATTGAAATGGTAATTAAAAACCTCCCCAAAAACAAAAGCCCAGGACCTGATGGATTTACAAATGAATTCTACCAAACATTCAGAGACGAATTAGTGCCTATCCTTCACAAACTCTTCCAAAAAATTGAGAAGGAAGGGACAATACCAAACACGTTCTATGAAGCCAATATTACACTAATACCAAAACCGAATAAGGACAACACAAAAAAGGAAAACTATAGGCCAATCTCCCTAATGAACACTGATGCAAAAATCCTCAATAAAATTTTAGCTATCAGAATCCAACAATGTATCCATAAGATAATTCACCACGACCAAGTTGGATTCATTCCAGGGGCACAAGGATGGTTTAACATCCGAAAATCAATCAACGTTATCCAACACATCAACAAAAAGAAATATAAAAACCATATGATAATATCAATAGATGCTGAGAAAGCTTTCGACAAAGTGCAACACCCATTCATGATAAAAGCCCTTGAAATTCTTGGGATACAAGGAACATACCTCAACATCATAAAGGCCATCTATGACAAGCCAACAGCCAGTATCATTCTCAATGGTGAAAAGCTGAAAGCAATTCCATTAAGATCTGGAACAAGACAAGGATGTCCACTCTCACCACTGCTTTTCAATATAATACTGGAAGTCCTAGCCAGAGCAATAAGACAAGAGAAAGACATCCAAGGAATCCAAATAGGAAAAGAAGAAGTCAAACTATCACTATTTGCAGATGATATGATAATATACATAGAGAACCCCAAAATCTCCACAGAAAAAATAATTCAACTCATCAATCAATTCAGTAAAGTGGCAGGATACAAAATCAACACGCAAAAGTCAGTAGCCTTCCTATACACAAACAATAAATCTGAAGAAGAAGAAATCAAAAAAACCACCCCTTTTATTATCGAAACAAAAAAAATCAAATATTTGGGAATAAATCTAACAAAAGAGGTAAAGGACCTATACAAAGAAAACTATAAAACACTGTTAAAAGAAATAGAAGAAGACACAAAGAAATGGAAAGACATCCCCTGCTCATGGATTGGAAGAATAAACATTATTAAAATGGCCATCCTACCAAAAGCAATATACAGATTCAATGCTATTCCAATCAAAATCTCAATGGCATTCTTCAAAGAAATAGAACAATTATTGATGAAATTCATATGGAATCACCAAAAACCCCGAATAGCCAAAGCTCTACTGAAAAAAAAAGAAGGAAATGGAGGCATCACACTCCCAGACTTCAAACTATACTACAAAGCCATAATCATCAAAACTGCATGGTATTGGAACAAGAACAGACATACAGACCAATGGAATCGAATAGAAAATCCAGAAATAAACCCACAGATTTATGGTCAACTAATCTTTGACAAAGGAGCAAAGACTATGCATTGGAGCAAAGAAAGTTTGTTCAATAGATGGTGCTGGGAAAACTGGGTCGCTACATGCAAAAGAATGAAGCTTGACCACTACCTCACACCATACACAAAAATCAACTCAAAATGGATTAAAGAACTAGACATAAGACCTGAAACCATAAAATACATAGAAGGAAATATAGGCGAAACACTACGGGATTTGCACATCAAAGACATCTTTACAGACACATCACCCAAAGCAGTGATAGTGAAGAGAAAGATAAACAGCTGGGACTACATCAAATTAAAGAGCTTCTGCACAGCAAAAGAGACAATAACAAAAACAAAGAGAAACCCCACCAACTGGGAGAACATTTTTGCACCCAACACTAATGATAAAGGACTGATCACAAAAATCTGCAAAGAGCTGATGAGACTCAGCAACAACAAAGAAAATAATCCAGTCAAAAAATGGGCAGAAGAGCTAAAAAGAAACTTCTCTGAAGAGGAAATGCAAATGGCCAACAGACATATGAAAAAATGTTCAACATCACTTGTAATCAGGGAAATGCAAATCAAAACTACCATGAGATACCATCTCACACCAGTGAGAATGGCACATATTAAAAAAACTAGCAACAACAAATGTTGGCGAGGATGTGGAGAAAAAGGAACTCTTGTGCACTGTTGGTGGGAGTGCAAACTGGTCCAACCACTATGGAGAGCTGTGTGGAGATTTCTGGACCTACTAAACATAGAGCTTCCATATGATCCAGCAATTCCACTCCTAGGTATTTACCCAAAGGACACAGAAACATCAATTCCAAAGAGCACCTGCACTCCTATGTTTATAGCAGCACTGTTTACAATAGCTAAGCTTTGGAAACAACCCAAATGCCCAAAAATAGATGACTGGATCAAGAAGATGTGGTACATATATACCATGGAATATTACTCAGCATTCAAAAAAGATAAACACATGCAATTTGCAGCAACATGGATGGCACTGGAAGGGATCATGCTCAGCGAAATAAGCCAAAAAGAAAAAGAAAAATACCGGATGGTCTCACTCATAGCAGGAATCTAGAAAACTTAAATAAGGGACCAGGAAAATGAATATAAGAAAGTGAAAATCAAAATCAACAAAAACTATGAACCAGAGACACTTTTTGGGGGGTGGGGTGCGGGAGGGGAAGGATTGGGGTCAGAAAGGGGCGTTTGCAATTGTATGGGGGAATATAAAAATAAAATTTAATATTTGAAAAAAAAAAAAAAGAAATAAAAGTGTATTAGTTAAGATAATGTGTTATCATATGAATTTATATAATGTGTAGGAACATAGAGGCTACAGCCTTTAATTCTGAGTAGTCAGTGTAAAAGGATTAAGGATTGAGTCCAAAGAAGGCAAGGTGTTAAGGTTGGGTTAAAGAGTACCCAAACCACAAAGTCATTTCAACAGATTCAGAAAAATGCCTTTGACAAAATTCAATACCTTTTTGTGCCAAAAACATTCAATAAACTAAGAATTGATGGAAACTTCCTCAACATTGAAAAAGGACTAAAAGCCCTTGAAAGTATCACAACTGATTTACTGGTAATGAAAGACTGAAAGCTGTTCTGCTAAGATCAGAAACAAGATGAGAATGCCCACTCCTGCCAATTTTAATCATTATAGTAATGGAAGTTTGAGCCAAGTCAATTAGGCAAGATAAGTAAGGTATCCAAATTAGAAAGAAGTAAAATTATCTCTATTTGTACGTGGCATAATCTTACTCTAAAAATCCCTAAAGAATATATTTTTTAAAAAACTATTAGAACTAAATGAATTCAGCAAAGTGTCAGGAGACAAAATCAACATACAAAATTGAGTTGTATTTTATGCATTAGCAATGAACATCCCAAAAAAATCCACTCACAACCAAAAGAACAAAGTACTTAGGAATAAATTCAAAAAAGGAGGCACATAACTTGTACACAGAAAGCTACAAAACATTGCTGAAAGAAATTAAGAGCTAACTAAATAAAAAAGACATCCCCTATGAATGGATCCTAAGGTTTTATATTGTTAAGATGACAGTAATACTATTAGCAATATACAGATTAATACAATTCTTATTGAAACCCCAATGGTGTTCTTCGCAGAAATGAAAATCACATCCTAAAAATTTTAAGTAATATTAAGGGATCCTGAAGAGACGAAACAATCTTGGAAAAGAACACAGACAAAGATTTCACACATACTGATTTCAAAACCAACAATAAAGTACAACAAAATGGTGTGGTACTGGTGAAAGGATATTAGTACAGATCAATGGAATTTAATGAGTCCAAAATAAATGCTCATATTTATGGTGAACTGGCTTTCAACAAGGGTAACAAGACCTTTCAATAAAAATAGTCTCTTCAACAATGATGCTGAGAAAACTGGATATCCACATGCAAAAGAATGAAATCTTATCTCATGCAATGAACAAAAAAATAGCTTAAAATGTTTTAAAGATCCAAACATAAGATGGAAGACTACAGAAATCTGAGAACATATTTACATGACCTTAAACTTGATAACGATTTGTTGTGTGTGCCAAAGTACATTACCAGTAGACTAAAAAGACTACCATAGAATGGGAGACAATATTTGCAATTTATTTAAGGGTTTTATATCCAAAATGTAAAAATAACTCCTACAACTAAACAAAACAGATGAAGAAGATACACACTGGCTAAAAGCATAAGTGATACTCAACATCATTAGTCATTATGAAAATGCAAACCAAAAACAAAATGAAATACCATGTCACACCTACTAAGGTGTTGTAATTTTTTTAATGGAGAGTTAAGTGTCGGCAAGGATTTGGGTTCATTATGTAGAAAAATGACCTCAAGGCATCTTTACTAATTTAAGGGTTAATAAGGGTTAATAATTTTACAGAGAAAATAAATAACAAATATGATTTCTCAGAATGCCATTTAAATTTTTGACAAAAATGCATTTTCAAAATACCATGCTATTCTTCAGGGGATGATTTTTCTTATTAGAATACAAATTACAATGAACACAAAAGATTCATATAATCTTTATGAATAGTCTGTACATTCTTCATTTCCTAACCACATTTATTTCCTAATCGTTTTGTATGATTTCTGTAAGTGTAGAGGCTGTTGCTAAGGTCAACAGTGCACAATGACTAAATGCAAACTTTCTACTGCAGTGGCATACTTAGACAACTCACCCTTCTTGAAATAGTCTTTCTTTGGCCTCTACAACACAACACATTCCCAGTTTCCTTTATCCTACTTTTATGATTTCTTCCCAACCTCCTTTCCTTGCATATCCCCCCTACCTAACCAGTAATTGTTGAATTTCTCAGGAATTGGTAATAACCCTTTTCTCAACACTCTAATGTCACCCAGCAGAGCTTACCACATTTATGACTACAATTTCCAACTAATTATGCCCCCTCCACTGCTCATCCTTTATTTCAAATCTCTAGGCCATAGCTTTCCTCTAGACAGCAAGCACAGAAAACCAACTGTTTCCTCAACATCTCAGCATGCGTAGCTCAAATATACCTAAAACCATGCCTAAATAATCACACTATTAATCACTCTTATCAAACATGATCTTCTCCCAATGTGCCAATATTAATAAAATTATCATTCATTCAAGTGCATGTCAGAAACTTAGTCACATTCTTAATATTTACCTTTTTAAAATCCCCATATCTACTTCTTCCCAGAGCCTGTCAATTATTACTTCTTAAGTATCTCTTACATCTCTGCACTTCTCTCTGTACCATCAAAATCCTAGTCTGAACTACCAACATGGCTCTTCTAGATTGTTGGAAAAGCTTTGTAACTATTTCATTAACAATGCTGCCTTCTATCTGAAATAAGCACTGGAAACAAAGTTTGTAGTCTTTGTAAATCTATGAAAGAAGCAAAGTCAAGTCTTAAGTTAGTTTCTAAATTGCCTGTAGAAATGGTAATTATTTAAATGTACAACAGGAACATCTAACTACATTACACATTATCATTAACACCATCTCCTGTTTGGTTAGAGTAAGTGATTTGAGAAGTGATAGAGGAAAAGGTGAATCACAAGTCCTATTTCCATCCTACTTCATCTGCTCTGTATGACTTTTTAAAATCAGAGAATCCAATCGCACGTTTCTCATTAAGTCTTTTCCAGATTATTCTAGGGTCATCTGAAGGCCTGGGAAGATCTTGATGTACTTCTCCAATAAGGCTAAGAAAGTCTTTAGTATGAAGATACTCATCTATTTTCTCTTGAAGTAGAAGTGATTCCAGTAAAGTCTTTTTTTGTTTTAGAAAGGCAGACTGAGCCAGTTCTGCTCTTTTTCTGTTACAATTAGGACACTGTGAAGTAACATGTTGTTTAGCTGTTGTCACCTGTTTTAGTGTTGTCATCATGCTTTTTAAATAAACTCTGTTCAGAAGATCATCTGGGACAATGCAGTTCAACACATCTATCTCTGGAACCGCTATATCTGATCGAAGCTGCAACTTTTTATGTCTGTTCTTTTGAGAGTTCACTCTATGATGCATCAGGTTTATCTTGTTAATGCAAAAAGACTGCAGGGCACTCAATTCTTCATCAGATACCTGACTGATTTCTGTTTGAAGCCTAGTGTCTGAATGGTACTGTCCAGAGTGAGTCTCTTTGCTCTTGAGGTAACTGATCCATTTTCTACTCAACTTCTTTTCATGATTGTTCAAGTCTGAAACTTCAGACTGATTGTCTTCTTGTTCCAAGCAGGTATTTGGGCTTTCATTTTCAAGTTTGTGCCCGGAGGCATGGGGCCAGGAATGCAGTTCTCCAGAGGAGCTAAAAGTACTGGAACTCTGTACTTCATCAGTAAAGGACTTGGAGGTCTCATTATCAGAAAGGTCTGTTGTAGCACTGAGGTCCATATGAGCCCAATTCCCTTTGTTTTTTAAGAATCCTTGGGCTTCTGGACAGATGGTCATCACACTGCATCAGATTCGGCTTCTCATCTGCTTTGCTGTGGTCACGATGGCTCAGGACCTAATCAGCCCTGCGTCCACAGGCCAGGGATCTTGCTGCTAACAGTTAAGCAGGGCTCCACTTCCTGGTGACGCCTTTCCCGCTGCCTTAGCAACGCGGGACAGTCATGCGCAGTGGGTCGCCGGCGCAGCGCTCCGCCTCTTCCCGCCCCCGCAGTTCTCCGACCGCGCAGCCTCTGCAGCCCCGGGGTTCTCGGGCCCGCCCTCTCCGGTTGTTGTGCTTTGACCCCCTCTTTTTGCAGTTTTAAGTATACGCGATCTAACAGTTCTTGAACGAAGGTGGCGCTTGCAAAATCAAACAGATATAAATGTGTGAGGCCACTAGGCATCCAAACTCAAAAAAGCCCCATAGTTGCCAAAAAGCACGGGCACGAACAAGTCCGCCAAGCCTATGCCAGGAGATCACTTATTTGTACACCAAGTATGGCTAAAAATGGAAATACTGAAACCAGAATTTCTGAATTCCCACGGCACCTTTTTGACAAGGCTCCTACCTATTTCTCCAGCTTCATCTTGAGTAACTCTTTTGCTGCAGCATTCCGAAGAGCTGGTACTTTTCCAAAATCACAGCTTCTCGGGTCTTGGGTTAAGGAAGTTCCGCCTCGCTGGCCTTGCTAGCTCTTTGTAGGATTAATTACTGCTCCTCCTCCAAATCTCATTTCCTCCGGAAGGGCTTCCCTCCAGCACTTTACTTTGCATCCTTCCTTTCGTGGTTAGGAACTACGTGTTTGTATGAGATTCTGATTTTGTGTCCCACATCACCCCCAATGAACTCAAAACTCCAAGACATGTCAGTCAGTGCGGCCCGAATTCAGAAGGTAGCTGACACATAGGATGTTGTGGAAATCTACTGAATAACCTCAAGCGGATCCAGTGGATTTTTGGGATAAGCACTACCAGTTCAAGGAACTCCAATCTTTTCCTTCAGAATCTCCCAAGTTAGGCTGTTACCCATGGCATATCCTTCTATAACAAGGCTTTTTAAAAACATGGTGGTTTTATTAACCGCTATTCTCAGAAACTATAAAATGTCAATGGTGGAGATAGAATTTTCAAGATCTTAATATCTGAGTCTAGGGCTTAGTAAAGACTTTTCAAGATCTTAATATTTGAGTCTAGGGCTTAGTAAATATTTGAGAAGGGTCCCTTGCTCGTGTGTGTGTGTGTGTGTATATGTGTGTGTGTGTGTGTGTATGTGTGTGTGTGCGCGTGTGCGTTGTTTTCGAGCTAGATATAATTAGTGTTATTCCAAAAATGTTCAATGATTCCCTTTCTCTTTCACTTACCCTTCCTTGAAAAGAGAAAGACAACTGTTAACACCTTTCTGCCAAGCAAGAACTTCTCCCAGATATCTTAGCCTCCTCCTTATTAAGGTTGCATCTGGCCTGTACCCCTTCCTATAACCATTGTGGTGACCAAGTACCAGGAGGTAATTTAGTGTGAATAAGGAAAATTAAGTTCATGGATCCTTTAAACATATTCAACCCTACCCAAACTTCACTACACTGTACATGGTCCTATAGATCAAACAAAATGAACCACATTTAAATGTACAACAAATCTCACTGTGAAAAACCATTTTGGTAGAGTAAAGAATCATGCATCACTCATTTATAAAAAAATGATTTTATGTTACAGTGTAGTGGTTAGTTTTCATTTTTAAAAATGTTTTATCTCACAAATATTTCAATCTTACTTTTTTTTAATCTATGGGTCTTCATTTTTATTATTTTTCTGAAATTGATTAATTGCTATATGAAGGGCTGCTTTGTACTTTAATAGCTACTATTTTTACACAGGTAATATTTGTTTATTATAGATAATTTAAATGATAAACTATTAATATTCAAGTAAAATTTTCTTGAATTCTGACCTCCCGCAAATAATCACAATAACCATAAAATTTTATATTTTACTTGAATAATTTTCCCTATTGAAACCTAGATTATGCTTTGATTTTATGAGCAATTTTCTTCATTACTAGTAATAAACACTATTCTATTAAACCTATAATTACTTTTAAAATAACTTTAAAGATTACATTGCATTATTTGATTTATTTACCTATTAAAACAATTCAAACACAAGGCATTTCAGGTTTTTTGTTTTTTTTTCGTTTTTGCTACTAAAAACATTCTAATAAGCATTGCTGTAGCAAAATCTTCAAATGCATTAATAGTTATAAGTTGAAAAAACTTCCAGAAACTGTAACTGGTCGGTTAAAATGTAATTTAAGATTTTTAAGATATCTATCACCCTACTGTAGTATAAGAAATTCAATATATAATATTGTTTTATCCATATACTTCAGCTTATATCTCTAAATTTAGTCTTTTTAAAAATATAACCAAATTATGATCATATCTTTAAAAGTACTCTTTTCTACTATCATATAATAATTACTCACATCTCTGTGACTGTCTCAAAATCGGAATGGAAGAAATAAAGGTGTCGCTATTTGCAGATGACAGAATACCAGATATAGAAAACTCTAAAGGGGCCTACCTGGTGGCGCAAGGGATTAAGATGTAGCACTATGAAGCTATCCACACCCAGGCCAGGGAGGTGACCCACATGTCTCAGCAGACCTCTCCCAACTTGCCCACTGCTCCTCTCAGCAGTGTATTTCAATCAGTCTGCCTGTTCTGTTCCCTACTTTGTCTCTGGTGAATCCTCTCACCCCCTCCCCAGCCCCCCACACACCTCTGGCCTGTATTCCAGGTCTTGTATGCATAAATAAATAAATCTAAAAAAAAAAAAAAGAAAACTCTAAAGATTCAACTAAAAAATTGTTAGAATTGTTAAACAAATTCAGTAAAATTGCATAAAAATTCAATAAAATATTCTGTTGGGAAATTTAAAAAAATCCCATCACAATTGCATCAAAAATAATAAAGTACCTAGAAATTAATTTAAATAAGTAAGTAAAAGACCAGTACACTGAACACTATAAGACAACAATGAGAGAAATTGAAGAAGACAGGAATAAATAGAAATATATTCCCTGGAATATACTGGAAGACTTAATTTTATTATAATGCCATGGTACCCAAGCTATCTATAGATACAGTGCAATCTCTGTCAAAAAAATCCAATGATATTATTTACAGAACTAAAACAAACAACCCCAAAATTTATATGGAATCCCAAGAGAACCTGCATAGCCAAAGCAATTTTGGAAAAAAAAAAAAACTAAAAACTAGTTTGATTTCATACTAGATTATAAAGCTATTTTATTAAAATAAAACACACATAATAGATCAATAAAATATAGTCATGATATAAACCCACACATTATGGTCAATTAATTCAGTACAAAGGATCCAAGAGTATACAGTGGGAGAAAGGGCAGTTTCTTTAGTAAATGATTTGGGAAAATGACAGCCACATGTAAATAAATCACACTGGACCACTACCTTAACACTATATACAAAAATTAACTCAAGCTGAATTAAGACTTCAATATAAGACCTGTCCTAAAACTCTTATGAAAGAAACTCTCCTGAACACAGTTCTCATTATTTTCTGAATCTGACTCCAAAAGCAAAAACAAATCAGTGGGACTACATCAAAATAAATGTCTTATGTGTTGCAAAGGAAGCAACAGAGTGTTCACATGGCTTTCTTCCTGTTTCTAATTTTCACTTTTTATAAAGACACCAGCTACAATGGTGTCCAATCTTGGTGTTCCACCCCAATGATCTCATTTTAACAGGATTACCTCTGTAAAAAGCCTATCTCCTAATGGACTCACATTCTGAGGTTGTGAGGGTAGGACTTCAATATAAGAATCTGGGGGAGATACAATTCAAACCATACCATGTAGTTCATATAAAAACCAGATTAAAAGATGTACAGACAACCTCTGAGATAGACTTTTTATTATAAAACTATTAGTGATTGTGCTAAGTGAAAAAAATGAATCGGTAAATATAGGGATTTAAGAAAAGACACTGCTTTGTAGGTATACTGACCGCCATATTACTATATGTAATTTTGACCTTGTTAGTTAAGGGGCACTTTTTTTTTTTTGATGAAGGTTTTTGGGTGTTATTGTGTGCAAGTTTTTCTCTCTGACTCTATCACAAATTTGGTCAGTGTAAAGAGCTAGCTAGTAAAGAGCTCACACCTAGCTTTTTTCTTTTTTGAAGATTTTTTTATTTATGCATACAAGAACTGGGATGTAAGCCAGAGGTGCAGGGGGTGAGAGGATTCACCTGAGAGAGTGGGGAGCAGAACAGGCAGATGTGCTGAAATACACTGCTGAGGAGAGCGGCAGGCAAGACAGGAGAGGTCTGCTGTGCCATGTTTGTTAGCTCCCTGGCCAACGGGGATGGAGCGCTTGCTGTAGTGGCTGGAGATAGCTTGATAGCAGTCTTTAACCCTCGCGCCACCAAGGAGGCCCCACACACCTCATGTTTTGAATTAAAAAAATTGTTCCTATTGGAAAGAAAGTAAAATTTTAAAGTTTAATTTTATGCAGCTCTCAGTATATTATGATTGGTATACTTCAGGACTTTTAATGTTTATGGAGGTAAGCTATGATTTCCCACTCCTCTGAGTGTCTTGTAAAATTCCAAATAAGGCCATAAATTATTGTCATTTTAGAAATCATTATCTCCAATGTACTTAAGCCATCAATGATAACATTATTTGCATCAAATAATGTTAAATATCTTTGCTATTCTGTCTATAAAAATTTTTTTGTAAAATATTTTTTTGTTTTCTAGCCTTACTTATTTCTCTTTCACTGTAGTTAAAATTAAGAACCGTCCTTAGGGCCTCCCCGGTGGCGCAGCGGTAGAGCGCTGGGTTGCGAAGCTGCCCACAGCCTCTGCAGCGCCGGTTCGATTCCCAGCTGCTCCCCGGCCACCGGAGGAGGGTCCCACATGGTGCGCAGACCTCTCCTGCCACCCGCTGCTCCCCTCAGCAGTGTACTTCGGTCCTTCTGCCTGTTCTGCTCCCCGCTCTGGCTCTGGTGAATTCTCTCACCCTCCCGCGCTTCTGACTGTACCCAGTGCATGTATAAACAAAACAAATGAACAAACAAATAAATAAATAAATAAAACATGCCTCTATTAAAAAAAAAAAAAAGAACCGTCCTTAGCATTTTATGCAAGTTTATGTAGTAGGGCCCTGTGCCTTTGTGTAATACTTTTTAAGATTAACCTTGGCATCTAGGAAATGAATATAAATCAGAAATTAAATGTAATATATTTCTCTTCAGAGCAGAGAGCACTGTATGAAATGAATTCAGAAACGGTTCCATTAAGCTGTAGTTGAGTTACAAAATTTTGTGTTTTCTTTGAGGGACAGGGGTCTGTGGCTCTGGTAAAAAAAAGAGGAATTCACAGTGGTTTTCCTGAAAAATACTACATAGAATTATTTTTTCTTCTACCCAATATCTTTGCAAAGCATTTTACTGCAATTTTTCTACTTACAAAGTAAGCTTTCACTGTAAAATGAATATTCATATGATTGCATAGGGTTGAATGACATAGAAATTGCAAATAATTTCATGTGAGACCAATCTTTCTGTAGAACTACTTTATTAAAGTGTTCATAGTATTCATAAAAATATCACTGCTCTGGAAAGACATCTAATGTGAAAAAACTGAGCTCACAGGCTCAACT